TTTTATATTTGTTTTTAAACTCAAAATACAATACTTACATATTGTAGGCTATCTAAAAATCACGACAGATAGCTGGTCTCTATCAAACCTCAATTAATATTTCGATAATGAAAGTTACAATCAAACGACTTTCACAAAAGCTGCAAATTGAGGACTTTTCACATAGATCGAGAGGAGTTACAATGCAACGATCCTTTCGCCAACTGATGAAAACTCTATTTAGTGGTATTTACCATCAATTGCGAGAGTTACAATCTGACGACTCTCACACCTCAAAACAGCTAAAGCGAAGATTATTGAACAATGGTCTTTTGCAACGCTTTACAGAAGAGGTTACAAGTCATTAGCTCATTCTAAATGCATAACTCATCTTTGCGTTTCAGTTCTTGAAACGCAAGCGACCCCTGCGTTTTCAACCCTCGGCAAATGAAACCCAAGCGGCCCTTGCGTTTTCAGCATCCAGCAGACACCCAACTCTGCGTCTCCAATCTAAGACGCAGAGTTAGGGTCCTTAACGCCGATCTGGGCGTTTGATTCATTCAAACATGAGTCGAACGGTTTCAGAACCGTTTTCTCACGATCTGAGGGAATCACGCCCACTTAGGAGCGGATTAAGGGGTGGTACACCCCTTATCCTCCTATAAAACCCCAACAAACTCAACAGAGTAGGAGGTTAAAAGTTTTTGGAGTTCAGATAGGCTAGTTCTTCTGGGATTTTATTGAAGTTCGGATCGGCTACAGATCTTTCACAACAAGAAGATCAAGTCTTGGAGCATCTTCGGCAACAGAAAATCAACTTGGCTATTAACCTAATTTTCAGTTCAAAATCAACTTCGTTACAGAGTTAAAACTCATTCTGAGTTACAAAACTCGTTAAGAGTTCTTAATCAAACTTGCCACGCAAATTAGTTGTTCTAGTGAATTGAGACGTGTGGATCGTCAACGGAGAACAAATTCGACGCGAGCATCCGAAATACTCCATCGCCACCGTGAAAAACCCAGAATTAAATAAAGGGAAGAATTCAGATCAATTTTCTTCTCTTTTGTAATCAGAAAATCCAGATTGTAATTAAATTTGAGAGAGTTGTAAACATTCTTTGTCTAAGCAGTTAGAGAGAATAAAATCAAACACGATTCTTTCATCGTATTCTTATTACAAAATTTTCACCAAACACATATGTGGCCCCCCTAAGTTTTTCATTAAATTCCAATTATACCCTTTTAGTTTTTATCTCATGTAAGTGGACCCCTTTAAAAAATTTAAAAACTTAAGAAAATGAAGAGAGAGAGAGAGAGAGAGAGAGAGAGAGAGAGAGAGGTTCCTTAGAGGTGGAAAAGAGGGAAGAATAGGAGAGGGAGAGAGAGGGGTATTGGTTTAAGTGAGGGTATTAAAAGGGGTATTTTGGGATTTTTACCATGTTTGTGTATAAATACAAGTGCTCTACCTACTATATTTTGGAATTTGGGTTTAAATACAAAAACAAAAAGATAATTGGGTTTAAGAATACAAGCAATAGTGATTGGGTTTATAGGTAAAGTTGAGTAAACAAATGGGGCTAGAAATAAAAACCCCTAGAATTTAACTTGCAATTAATAAAAAATGAGGACTTTGAGGTTGAAAACAAAATCATCAGGTTCTTCAAGTATCGATTCCACAAGCTCTAAGAACTAAAGATAGAGCAATTAGGGCACTGAGCAAACTTCGACGCCATTGTTGAAGATGGAGGCGAGAAACCATGTTGGAAATTAAGGTTAAGTCTGGAATTAAACAGAGGAATTTAGATGTGTTGTTATTTTAATTTTTCAATTAGGCGTTTGTAAAACGATGTGCTTAAAGCAATATTTAGCCTACTCCGTTGCAAGGATCCCAAGGTCAAACTACTTCCAGGAATAGCAGTACAGTACTCTGGTGTGCACCAACCCAGTACTGTCAAGATCTCCTCGATCTATAAGACATTTCGGTCAAGGTAAAAGATCCCTCGATCTCAGAATATTTCGGTTCAAAACATTTCGGTTTTAGGGTTCCTGCGGGCACATTTCTGCAGCAGCAGCACAACAACAGCAACAACAACGTCGATTCGACGTTCGTTTTCCAAGCTCGCATGTGTATACCGACGTTCGTATTCTATACTGACGCTCGTATTCCACGCTCGAGAGAGTTTCCAACAACCACCAAGAGCTACCCAATGGCGCTATTTATAGGCCTCTAAGGTCAGCTCAAGAGTCACACGTAATTAATGTGACTGTTATAATTCTCAATGGCAATTAAGATTGTAACATCAATGCATTAAATTGCTCTAAATACTGTTGTAACTGCTGCATACAGTAACTCCTGAATACGAGGCAATCAATGGACGCGTTGTTACGAAACACGATGGTCACATCTCAGCAAATCAAACGAACCTCGTTTGACAAACGAACATCGTCAAACAGGTGAACCTCGTATGACAGACAAACCTCATCGAACGAGCGAATATCGTCAAACAAGCGAACCTTGTATGACAGACGAATCTCGTCGAACGAGCGAACCTCATCAAACAGGCGAACCTCGTATGACAGAAGAACCTCGTCGAACAAGCGAACCTCGTACGACAGACGAACTCCGTCGAACGAACGAACATCGTCGAATGAGCGAACCTCGTCGAACGAGCGAACCTCATCAAACTACGAGAACGCTAGGATCACACCCTCGTACGAATACGTAGCTCGTTCGCATGCCGCGACGTAGCCTACGTGGCAACCATAGTGGCAGCTAACGTGGCGCCAAACAAAGCGTCACTTAGCACCTCAGCCCGATTAGTCCCGTTCCCCGGCCCATTGTCCCATGGCCCACGACCCACTAGAACTTATGAATGATTAATTCGAATAAAACACTTATTGGCTTGTCGTTGGCAAGCCTCAAATAAGGGACATTTTGAAACACCAAAACATAAACTTTCCACTAGGCTACTAAGCATTTATGAAAAGTATTTGTAGTTAATATATATATATAGCTTGAAAACTTATTTTGGAAAGCAGTTTTGACCAAAAAAATCCAACAAACCCTAATTCAAAGTCAGATCAGATAAATTGATTGGAATCAAAAGTTAGAGATGTTTGTAGGCGAAGAGGACGGAGAAAACGAAGAGAAGGGAAGAGAGGATTTATATGGGGTCAATGATTTTGGAGTTCAGTCTCAGATGGGGGATCAGCTACAGAAAGGAAGAGAAGAGAGATGGGGAAAGAGAGGAAAGTGTTTTGCGTAAAACTGGGGGTATTTTGAGGCTTTTGCTCCAAAATGTACATGTGCAATATATCCTCACTTTGGATTATACTATTTGAGCTTAAAGATAAATGCCCAAAGATGATTGAATGTAAGGATATAAATAATTGGAGGGTCTTTCCCCCATTTATGTTTAAACCCAAGTATTTTTATCTATACCTACAAACCCAAGTATTTTTATCTATACCTACAAACCATAACAACTATTTGTATATTTGTCTTTAGAACATATATATATATATGAGAAAACGGGAGGTGAGCTGGCAGCGTAGGAAATTTCCTACGCTGCAAGTGTATATATATATATAGAGAGAGAGAGAGAGAGAGAGAGAGAAATGGGTATGCTTGGTACCAAGCACAAAACAAGCACAAATTTTATGCTTGGTAGTGAGGTGACATATTCACATCCACTCGTTCTAATTCTCAACCACTCCCCAACCCATATAAATGTGGGTCCCGATTTTAATGAGTGGAGGGGAATATGACACCTCACTACCAAGCATAAAAACTTGTGCTTGGTACCAAGTATCTCATGAGATTTTGAGGAGATTAATTAAATATCATGAATCCAAATGACAAAGGTAGCCCTTACTTTATTATGAGAAAAGGGGCAAGCAAAGTCATGTCACACAAGGCACAACTATGCTTGTTACGCCTTAGGAATAAAATAACTATGATACTATTAATAGTATCCAACATGTGTATACTATTAATCTAATTTTAAAAAATCGGAACTTAAAAATGAAATTCTGAATGGATATATTTGATCTCCTACATGAACTTCTTACAAGCAACAATATTCAAAGGGATTCAATGTTCAACTCAATGTTCTAGAGTTTTAGCTCTGGAGTTGTATCATATATAGACTCTGTTATACGAAGACAGGGTTACATGTGCTGAAAGTATGATCTATTGTGTTTTTGGTACCCTAACGGAATGTGATCAAGCATTACATTTTCCAGAGGGATTCGATGCAAGGTTCGAAATTCTAGAGTTTTACCTCTAGCGAGACATGCATGTTTTTTATGTGCCGAAAGTATGATGCCTTCTGTTTCTTTTTGCTGCAGTGGAATGTGACGAAGAATTTTATTTGCTATTATTTTGCTTTGAGCAACACAGTGAAGTAACTGGTTGATTATATGGTTCACTGATACTTGGTCTTGGCCACAACCAATTGCTAAAGCCATCAGTTTGATGGGACTTGGGCGTATATGCTCAAACGATGGTTATTTATTCTGATGGCCGTCTATGCATGTCAGATCCCTGATCTTCGGAAACCTGAAAATAAACGAGGCCAAGCACACGTGACATGTTAGGTACTGAAAAATTTTCCAATTTTATGGCTCTGATATTGATCAAAGCAAGAACGTACTTGGGAATTGGGATGGAGATCTTTGTAACTCCGCAGCTCAACACTTAAAACTCGGAGGCCGGAGATCTATCTTATGGAGATACGCGCGAAATTTTATTTTACGTTTATAGGTATATTACCGGGGGATTGTTCAACAAAGTCGTTGTAGTATAGTGGTGAGTATTTCCGCCTGTCACGCGGGTGACCCGGGTTCGATCCCCGGCAACGGCGACATAGATTATTTTTGACTTCTCTTTTTCTTAAAAAAAAAATACCAGGTTGGGATTTTCTTTTTCTGAGAATAATTTGAAACAGTTCTGATTAGAACGTGGTGCTCTCTGCACTACCCCCTCCAGATATCCGACAAACCATCAACCTCCTTTCTGTCACTTTCACTTCCTTCACGTGTTAAACTCCCAAAGCGAACAAGTCCAACAAACAACAATTATTTACACAACTCCCCCTCTTTTCCTCCGCCACTACTTTTCTTTCCTCCCTCAAACTCCGAACCCTTTCAAATTCAACCCCCATCTCTCCATGATCTCCGACGCCGGGCGATGCCGTCGAAGAGAGAGCGACTCGCCCGCTTCATCTCCCGCCTCCGATCCAAACGAACCGGTTCTTCTCTCGTCGTCCAAACCGGGTTTCCGACCTCCCTAGCTGATCTGGTCGTCAAAAATCGTGCTAAATTCCAAAAAAGGAGGAAACCCTCGAACGCCTCCGAGATCGATGCGGCATCCACCGCCGCCGTACGATCGGAATCCGATGGTTCCGTCGACCGCCTGGTCACGGCGGAATCCGATGGTTCCGTCGACCGCCTGGTCACGGCGGTTGAAACCCCCAATGAAATTGATAAGGAGGTTAGGGTTCCAATGAGGAGGAGAGGGGACGGGTTAGGGCTAGGGTTTTTGATGGTAAAGGTGGCGGCTTTGGTGGTTTTGGCGTTCGGGAGGAAGTGGGTCGTTGCCGGAATTACGATTTTGGCCTTTGGTGTTTTGGTTATTGAGTTGATTGGGGTGAGATTGTTGAAGTTGGATTTTGTGGAGAGGAATGCAGTTGAGAGATTCGATTTGAGAGGAAGGGGATTAGTTTCTCCCACTAGAGAAGTTGAAGTTGATGATCATCAGCGTTCTGAGTGTTTGGATTCGAGGAGTGATGATTTGAAAACTGTCATTGAGGGTTTTGATTTGAGAGAAAGAGAGTTGGTTTCTCCGATAAGAGAAATTGAGCCCAAGAATCATCTGAATCCTCCGCAAACGGAGAGAAATTTGGGTAATCCTGAAGATCGCAGGGTATTTGTTGCAGCTGAGAGTGTCATCGAAAACCAAGATCTGGGCAGTTCACTAAAGCCCGAGAGGAAGAGGCTGTTCAAAAAGCTTTTCAGGAGAAAAAATCGCATGAAAAAGAACGAGAATAACTCAAGTCCATCTTCAAATGATAGTAGAATTTGCAATGAAATACTTACAGAAGAAGAAGAAGAAAGTAATGATGATGATGATGATGGTAAGGAGTCTGTTGATGAAGATTTTTTAAGCTTTCAAGATTGCAATGAAGTCGTTGAAATAGACACAGAGGACATTAATTCTAATGACATCGGAGATGATGTTTGTGAAGTTAAATTGAAAAGGTGGTGGAAATATGTATTTTGTATTGTACTTCTTTCGGGTCTTTTAGGAGGTAAAGGTTTTGCATTGTTCTTGACTATAGCTTGGTGTCTCCTTTCTGTAAGCGCTGGAGCAATGTTGGTGAAATGGAAGATGGTGTCAACAGATAGATTCGTGCGATGATTTTGCTCGGTTTTTTTTTTAATAATGTTTGTGGCTCCTTAATTAGGGAAGGAGGCCTTTTACATGTAACAAGATTTGTTTACTTGTCAATGCTCAGGATGTTGGAGGTGTGAAATGGTGAAGGTATGCATAACAAAACTGTTAATCAAATTTTATAGTTTCTTGCTTGCAATTCACTTTGATATGTCTCTTGTTGATGGTTGTTTGCTTGACGTTATGCTTTCTAGGTGCCTTTGTTGGTTACTGTTAAAGTTTAGGGGACATGGGAGGGTGGTCTTATTACCGGGACAGCAGAATTGCTTTGGAACATAAGTGGAAGAAGAAATTCTACATTGACAACTATATGACCTACAATGCTTTGTGTCAGAATATTGGGCAATTAAGAAACAAGATGAACAGAAGAATGTGCTGAGCAAAAATGAGAATGTCATGATGGACGAGTAAGCATTAGGGATAGGATAAGAAAAGTTGGAGCATGCTCCAATTGAGGATAAAATGAGAGAGTGGTTTTAGATGCTTTGTTCATGTTCTAGTGGACCATTACATACGCTAATCACTAAGTGATAAGATTTTAAGTAACGGGGAAAGGAGGACAACTTTATGCGCAAGAGATCTTGATAGGAGCCTTTAAGAAGGATAGGATAATGATCAACTTCCCTCAGCATAACGAAGTAGGAGTAAAATTCATCATCGAGGATCCAAATGTGGGGATAAAAATGTAGTTGTTTGTTGATGAAGAATCAATTTCTACTTGCGCATCAAAGTTCACAGATATTATGCAATCTATGATCCGGTGTATAAAATATTGGTCGATATATCGGGTTTTACAGCAGCCCACAATGATATTTATAAGTTTATAGCATTTTTTTATTTTAAGAAAAATTTCTGATATTTCGGCTGATATATGATATATTCAAAATGAAATTCCATCTGTGTCCACTTACCGTGAATTTCAATTGGCACTTCAGGTTTTTGACATTTCGTATCGTCCGTCACGTTTCAAAGCTTCCCGTGGAGAGGGAAAAAAACTCATTATTCAGTTGGACGATGACTTATTTCATTTCATTATACACAAGTGGTTGCTCTTAACATGAATTTCAATATTATTTGTTTCACTGTAACCTGTGCATGCACTTTGTTTGCATCTGTATTTGGGGGGCGGCGGGCGAGTACGTATATGAGAAAAAAAAGAGTCATGTCCAGATTATTGTAAGTTATTTTTAGTGGGTTAAAAAATTGCTCAATTTGTAATTGTAGTTGTAACGAAACAAACACGTGCAATGAACTTGTACGAATCACAATCGCGATTGCAGTGGCAGATGTTCACACAAAAAATTCTGATAAATTCTTTATGTTGACTTGCCTAGTGTCGGTATGCCTTCGTATTCCAATCCTGATAAATTCTTCGTGTCTTCTTGTGTGGACTGAAGAACTTTTGTAAAGATATTATAATGAAGTGGTCCTGCAATGAAGGATTCTATATGCTTGTAAGACAGCAGGATGAGGTGGTATGATGTTGACTCTCGGTCTCGTGAAGAAGAGGGTTAATTGCACATATACCCCCTGTAGTTTTGTCGTTTCGCACTTACTGCATTTGCAGTTTCGTTGTTGTAGATAGACCCTCACTAATGTCAAAATTTTGCCAAGGGTTAAAGAGTCAGATAAATTAAACCCAGGGGTCTACTTGCAACAATGAAACTAGATGGATAGTTAGTGCAAAACAACGATACTGCGGGGGTGCTACGTGCAATTAACTCAAAATATATATTAAAAAAAATACTTGTCCTTAGAATGAGAATTATGAAGGTGGTTGAGTCTTATTATATGCTTTGTGTCTGCCTCTTATCTCGTTGTTCCTTAAAGTAGGCAGTTGTGGCCCTGTTATAAATAGTAGCAGGAGGCTCAAGTTTTTGCCAGAGCTCTCACTGTAAAAAACAGAATCCTGGGAATCCAGAGGAACTGCAGTTTCTATAGCATAATTTCAAAGGGCTTCACCTGGTATTGTCTATTGATGTTTATTATTATACATGTATGTATGCTAAATTTGCATTAATTCAAATATGAATTTGCTAAATAACATCCTTTTGAGAGTACTTTCATACCTACTCAGCTACGCTTGATGTTATGTTTATATATAATAAAATACTGGCTTTTTTTAGGGATAATAATGGTAATTTTCGTAGAGGCCTTTGATGTTTTGCATGCATAGCCTTCAAAATTAGTTGTTTTAAAAAAAATTCCTTAACTGATTAATAAACTTGGAAAAATAAACTTATTTGATGGTTGAAAAAGTTGGATGCTACAATCTTATACAAGAGAAAATAAATGTTATTACAGCATGAGCTAAATTCACTTGATACAGAAGTTAATTGCAAATCACGCTTTAACCAAGAAAATTCAGTATCCATCTTCTATTTCACCAATAAGCTTAACCTCAGTGACAGTATTTAATCACAGAATTTGGATATAAAACGTATCACAATCCCCCTCCTCTAATCATTATCACTCGAGTAACTAACTATAACGTTTCTTTACAACTATACATTGGCAACTAGATGTATTCCTTGCAACTAAACAAAAAGTCACAATTGATAAATAAACTATTTCGTTTACATGGATCTTTCGTTGCACTGTAAAATCTAGTAGATCTCATGGATGCAAAAGTGCAAGTAGCGGTGGGTGTGGGGTGGGCTGGGCCGGTTCAGGCCCATGACCCGGCTCACCGGGTTCAATGTCGGGTCGGGTCTGACCCTGGCTAGCCCGGGGCAGAGTAGGCCGGGCCTAGTTCTCTGATCCTGGGTCTGGGATTGGACCCAGCCCGGCCCACGACCAACCGAGGGGTTGGCCGAGTTGGGCCTGGTCCATGGGTCGTGGGTCGGCCTATGATTTTTTTTCAACATTTTTCTAATTTTTTCATTTCTAATTTCTAAATTGTATTAATACCTATTAAATTATATTTAAATTATTTTTTTTCCTATTTCACTCTTTATTTAAAATAATATACACACGCATAAACATAAACATCACATAGAAAACATCACAAACGCAAATATATGTGGTTCAAACTTCGAATGAAGACCTACGTTTTCTCGGGAAGTTAATAACTATTCTCTAGTTTAAATTTAAATTACAAATACAATAGGAAAAAATATGTTAATCATTATTGTTCAAAGAGCCGAATTCCTCTAAGTTATATTTGTCAAATTCTTTAAGAAATGTCTTCTTTGCTGCTCTTGTGACTGTTCTTCTGCATCGAGACGGATCAATGGTGGATTGGACCGGGTTGGGCTAGGTCATGGTGGTCAGGTCAATAGTAGACCAGCCCTATTTCTCTGGTCCCTGGTTTGGGCTAGACCTAGCCCGGCCCGTGACCCGAGTATATCAGGCTCGACCCACTACGGGTCAAGCTGGATCGTGGCACATGGCAGGCTGGGCTGGGTTAGCCCACGGGTCAACCTGGCCCACGCCCAACCCTAAGTGCAAGGGGACGGGGGTAGGTTTTCTTAGGATAAACCCTTCGTGAACAAAAACTTTAATATTGTCTCTTACTTACATCCCAAACAATTTTTAGTATCCCTAAACTCAAAACTCCGTCTCCTGGTTACCTTAATGACTATTTCACCGTCCCACATTAACACGTAGACTATTAAATTCGTCTATGCTTACTCTACTAGCTATCACATTCATTACCTAATAACCACTTTTTGATTATTTCTGTGTGGGTGATTTGAATCCACTGAGAGAAAACTGAAAGTTTAAGAAATTGGATGAGACTGGAAATAGTTATTGGTAAAGGGCTGACTTCAATTGTTTATGAGATAAAATGAGACTTCAAGAAAAAAGGGGTAAGGCGGAACAAATTTCCCTTTTTTTAAGGACCCAAAATATGGGACCAATGGAGGAGACAGGTGACGTGTCCCCTCCCTATTGCATAATGAGTTGGCCATGCCAACTCATTATGCAATAGGGAGGGAACACCTCACATGTCCCCTCCATTGGTCCTATATTTTGAGTCCCCATAGCAGCACTTTTTTTTTCGTAATGAAGGCGCGTGGAAGGAAGGTAATACTTCGAATATTTAAGATAATAATGTTGGGCCCACCACTAGGTCGATAGATTGGGCCAAGCCCAAGCACATGTCACATGTGCCTGCTTTATCTGCCCATCAACATCCACCCGCATGGTTGCAAACAGTGTTGCATTTTGTCTCTCTGTGAATGATTGCGATTTCAAACATTTTAAGGGGAACAAGCCTGATTTTTTTTAGAAAAAAGGATGGATTAGCAACATAGTAATCCAGTCAACTAAATTAAACAAAACAAGCATGATTTTTAATTATATTATCTTTCCATTTTCTGCGGAAATTAAATCATAGCGACGTCAGGTTGATGCAAATACTGTATTCCTAGCACTTGATGTTATGTATGAGCCCTTTCTAATATCCGCATGTCAAAAGAATCAACATTATTATAGCTTAGAATTATAATCAGTGTTAAGTAGTATATTGGGTTTTCTTGATATTAATCCCCCTAATCTTTCATCTGAAAGGGTTTTTTCCGAAAGAGTTTTTCTAATGGGTGCTCTTGGACAACCGTTAATGTGAATTAAATACCACAAATACAGAAATATTTCTAATAGTTTTGATTTGAATACAATCAATGATTCTCTCTTTTCCTCATGTTTCTTCTCTCTTTCCGTAAGTGCTTTAAATGTCATCATACTTGCTAAAATTGATTCTTCTTCATGTTTACTTTATTATGTATTTAAATCTCATTTTTAACTTTGATATCCTTTAATATTCTTTTCCAATAAAATACCCCCAACTTTACTTTGTTTTTTAACTTTAATACCCTAAAATTAAAAAAAATTAACTCCGATGTCCCAAACTTGTAAAAAAATTTTGGGGTGTCAATTTAAATTATTGTTAAACTTTAGGATATTTTGGGGCAAAAAGAAATGTATCAAAATTCAATTTTATTGAGCTTTGTGGTATTAATTGGGGAAAAACAAATGTGGTACCAAACTTTAAAATGAATTAAATTTTAAAGTATCAAAGTGTAAATAACCTAACAATTACAGCAAATTGTGAAGAGTAGAGGCTAGAGAGAGAAGCTATATTGGAAGAAAGAGAAACATCGATGATATTAAGCCGTATTAATTTGAACATTGCAAATAATTCGATATTTTTGAATTTGATCCACGTTAACGGGCCCAAGGGCACCCGTTAGAAAATTATGACCCCTAAATCTTAATATCTTAAAATTAGTCACCAGAATCTTTAAATGTTTTGAAATTAGTCTCCCAAATATTTACAGAGTAAAATTAACCTTAGAAATCTTTTAACTCTATTTACAAATTAGCCCCTCTAGTTAAAAGTTAACCATGGAGATTTCATTTTAAAAGATTTAAAAGATGTCAGAAACAAATTTTAAAATATAAATATTTAGCATACTAAATTTAAAAACATTTAAAATTTCAAGGACTAATTTCAAAACATAAGAATTGGAGACTTTAATTTCAAAATAAGAAAGATTAGGAAGATTAATATTAGAAAAGTGTTTGGTGGAAATTTTGTAATAAGAAAATAAAAGAATTGAATTTTATTTATTCCCTCTAACTGCTTAGAAAAAGAATGTTTACAACTCTCTCGATCTCTTATTGATTACAGTTTGAATTTCCGATTACAAAAGAGAAGATGATCAATATAAATCCTCTCCTTTGTTTAATTCTGGGTTCTTCACGGTGGCGATGGAGTGTCTCCCTCGAATGCTCGCGTCGAGTTTGCTCTCCGTTGATGATCTGAAAGTCTCCCTTTGTCCCTTTACTGGAACAATCAAGTTGCGTGGCAAATATGAAAGAACTTAGTACCAAGGTTCTCCATAATTCTCTCTCTATATATATATATATATATATATACATATATATATGTGCCACATATTAAATAGACATGGCCACTGAAAAGAAACAACTGGAAAGTCCAAACAGTAGGACAGCCCATCCATACTCATCTGTTAAAAATCTGATAGTCGAAATGGCCAAGGCTTGTCAGAAATAATATACTATATATATTATATATATATATATATATATATATACTATATATATATATATATACTAATATATATATTATTATAAGAATAATGCGAGGCTGATGTTTGTACCACTCCAACCTCATCCCCGTAAGCTTTTAAGTGCTATGACATGTGAGCCCCACACCGAAATGTGACTTAGTAAAGGGACTCCACATGTCATACACGTGCAGCTCACGAGCGACAGATGAGCTGCCAGCTACTCCATTATTCTCTCTCCTCTGCTCTCTCTCTCCTCTCTCTCTCCTTTCTATATATATATATATATATATATGAGAAAACGGGAGGTGAGCTGCCAGCGTAGGAAATTTCCTACGCTGGCGCCATGTGTCATGTTCTCATTCGCTAACATTCATTTATAGAAATAACAGATTTTAGAGCGTTTAATTTACAAAAAATTAAAGGGCCTAGATGTAAAAAATCACAAATCTCTAGTTGTCTTTCCTAATAGAGCTTCGTATCCCAAAAGTGATTAATTCCCAAAATCCCACTCCTGCATCCTTCGTCATCCCCCTCCTTCCCCAAAATCCCAGACCTCACCGCCGATCTCTTCGCCGATCTCCGCCAAAAATCCCCAAAATCCCCGATCTCCGCGGATCTCTTCGCCGTCCCAGACCTCACCGTCGGCGCCCTCGTCATCCCCAAAATCTCAGTCTTGGGTTTGATCAAGAGGATCATCTCTCGGCATCCTCAGGTACATCTTCTAATTTTTCCAATCAGTGAAGTCCCTAAGCATCTCCTCCCGGTTACTCAAAAAAAATGCAGCCATAAACATGGACCCTCAAAATGAGTGGAGAAAGATAATTTTTTTAATTGATGTGGTGTGATAAATGCATTTGAATTGCTTTCAGAAAGAGAAGAGTCTGAATCCTCCATTATTGTTGTATTGGAGATCTGTCTCTTGTCATCCCAGGTTTTTGTGGAAGTGTATTAGCATCTATTATGAGTAGTTGATTGCTAGCCGAATCATTTACCTTCTTTAAGTAATTAAATATGATTTCGGAGAAGATGGAGAGAGCTAAGAAAAAACATTTGAGTGATTGTTCCCCTTAATTCAATCTAGTTAATGATAGTTTTTTTATTATTTTTATTTTTTTAAAGGAATCAACCTAAGTTTTATTTGCTAAAAGTTTGATGTAGTTTAGAATTATTAGAATTATTAAAATTTATTTTTTTAAAGGAGTCAACTTAATTTTGAGTGATTGTCCTCCTTAATTCACCCTTTGTACATTGGTCCTCATTGTAACAAAACAACCAGGTAGATTATTTTCTTTTGCGTTGTGTTTGCATGATGCTTTTAATCTTCTAAACAATAAGAGAGAGAGAGAGAGAGAATCAATCATCATTTAATGATGCAGGCTTTGAAGCAGGAAGAATTACTGGAGCATGTCAAACCCAACAATTGATTCAAATAGTGCAGAAGAGGAGCTTGGAGGCAGAATCATCATCATCTGCAAACACCTGCATTCACATTGTACCTATCAATAGGAAGATGAAGTTGCCTGTAATCTCAATGTAATAATGTTCGCATCACACATCCTCCGAAGAGCTGATGCCTTTTAGCAATGTAAAGCAAGAGATATGTTATATTATTTGCAGCGAAAACAGGAAAGGTCAGATAAGTTGAGAAGAAGTTAAGCACATCTGTAGAAAATTCAGCGAGAAAACAGTTAGGACTTGTATGTGTAAAAGTAAATATGTAACCTTTTAATTCAATGAAATTCTTTGGTGTTGCTCTTTGATTCAATGAGCTTCACTTTTGCCAATAGTCTGCATTTCCTATGAAGGAGCACGTGTTTGTCAAATTTGCACTGGTAATGGTTTTAAGTTATGGATGAATTTTGTGCTTTGTTTAATAGTGCAGTTTCAGCTGCACTATTAAGTCCAGGTGTATTACGCAGGTTTGTTATTGTTTTACATTCTGTCCTGCGAAATTGATACATTAGCTTATTACTCGTTATGATACGTAGAGAACTACCTTGTTCATTTTTTTTATCAATCAGGACCAATTCCCTTGCAATTTGCTTGGTGACATCATCTTCATCTGACAATACACATCCACCAAAAAAAAATTGAACTCATGACATTGGCATTGTGATGCATGGATCAAAAGCAATCAGAATATTTTGCTGGAAAGACGTCAAAGCAACGGAAAATTATAATGATATCCTTCATTCTCAGAAATTCCAATATTCGTGTTTCATTACAACTTCCAGTCCTCATTAGGCTAAATGCAGTTTTAGAAAGATGCATGAAATTGTAAACGCTTTGACCTCCAAAATCTAGTGGCCATATTTCTGGAACTCCCACTCGCTGTTGTCTGCATGTTTGCAGGAGGAAAAGATCAAGTAAAAATATATACGAAAACATTTAGAGATTAAAGATATTTCATAAAATAAAAATGATTTAGATGTGTTACTGACCTAAAGGGCACACTTGCCTGGTCTTGAGCCACCTACCGATGCAGTGAAAGTGGAACCATGATTGAGAAGAATATTTGAAGACTTAACATTTTTAACATTTCTGAGAATACATGTCTTGTACAACTATTAATTATGCAAGTAGTTTGGAGCTTCTGCAACTCCTATAACATTTCTGAGAATACATGTCTTGAACTACGTAAAGAGACTCATGAACCAAGAGACACACCGACTGTGTCTATTCAGATTGGCGGCAATCACCTGAAACAACCACAGTAAAAATTTCGCATGTCAATGAACTAAACATGAGGTGGTCAATAATTTCACATCAAGAGAGTTAGAAATATTAATACGGTTTAAACAACAATAGTACCCTGTATTCTATATGTATCATAAAACTAAATGAATATGAATTGAAGGAAAATTATAGAACAGAACAATCAAAACTTTCATGTTCCTGATATAGGAAAAAGAGGGAAAGTACCGGTTCTTGAAGCGAATCTAGAGTTGTGAAACCCAAAATTGAACCTCAGATTCCAAATTTTCTTAAATGAGAAAATAATAAGAAGGAATCAAATCCTCGAAGAAAGTAAAAAAAAAAACAGAGAGAGAAATATGCAGATTTTTCACCTCACTGAGAAACTTTGGATTGTTGATACCAAACACAAAAGCATCTTAGCCATCAATCCCCCCCCACCCACCCCACCCCCCGCTTCCCATCGAATCTGCGAGGGCCTTTACTATCAGATAACGAAACAAGGAAGCCATGCCGCTCCCATCCCCTCACAGTGGAAGAGGAGGAAAAGCAAAAAAGAGAGAGGTTGAAGATTTCTTTCCCAAAATACCCTACAGTCTAAGAAGCAGAGAGAAAAGAGCAGAGGGCAAAATAGGGGAAAGATTAATGAACAGGGAGGCCAAATTTTGCCAAACCTTTTGCCTAATAATACCATCAGGATCCCAGTTCACAATTGGATAGGGCTTGCAAAACAGAGGCTTGTCAAACCTTTTGCCTAATAATACCATCAGGATCCCAGTTCACAATTGGATAGGGCTTGCAAAGGCTTGTGGATAGGACAAAATGGGAAGAAAAATGTCCATACAGCTTTTATACAATTAGGTAATATAGTTTTAGCAAGGTTATCAAAAATGTCCATACAGCTTTTATACAATTAGGTAATATAGTTTTAGCAAGGTTATCTTGTTGTGACGTGTTGGGCTTTGTTCTTTCCCATGTTATGTACCATTGCAAGAGTTATTTTTCTTCCTTGTATACTAGGGAGCGATCTTATAGGATTGTCTTTAGTTCTCTGTCATTATGCTCTCTTCGCTGAACCCTTTCTAACTTCCCTTGTAGTCTATTATCTTTCACTGCTTAGTACAGACTAGGTGTAAATTGAACTTAGCTCTGGTGATTTACTATATAACATCATTCGGAATCATCAAACATGAGTTGCGGATTTAATGGATTCCGTAGATTTCTTGGACGTCGTTAGGTAAGACAAACTGTAATTGAATTTCAGGATAATTTCCGAGTCGAGCTCAAATGATGTTGAGGTACTCCCATTTTGTTATACTTGTTTTAACTTCAACTGAAACAACTGATGAGTAACAGAAAGAGGAGGAAAGGGAGGAGGAGGAGAGGGGGCAAAGTGGATATTTTAAAAAAACTTGGACTGAATAGGAATAAAGGTGTGACATTAAAAATATGTAATAAACTAAGATGATTTACAATAAAAACATAATAAATGTGGTCAGTAACAGTTTGGGCAAAAAGTAGTTTTTATGTGAAAATCCTTGGTTTATTGAAGCATACCTCTAGCGCTAGAGCAAGTTCTGGAAATCTTAAGACGAACTGGATGATTTTCTATGAGATTTTAGATCGTACAGAGGTTCTACGACCAAAGCTAATAGAACAAATTATCGGATTCTGATAGCGTATTGAGATTTTGGACAAGCTATATTAATTAAAAACATTGTTATTAACATTAGTAGATTCTACTGTAGAACAAGTAATTGCTACAGTTTTCCAAAAAAAAGGACAGCCTTACTTGAGCTCCTACATTAAGGTGGCGTTTGGTTGTTTGCAACTGGAGTTGCAATGCAAGTGTCACTTGCATGCAACTGAGACGTTGCAACTCTTCTTACATGCAACTACAGTTGCAATTGTTTGGTTTAAAATTTAAATTTTGCAACTTATAGTTGCAGCTGTTTGATTATGCTTATAACTTAACATATGCAACTCATAAAATATTTTTAAAAAATGATTTTTTTAAAAATAATAATATATTTTAAAAAAATAATATATTTTAAAAAAATAATATATTTTTAAACTGCTACAGGACCGAACCTTGGAACTCTCACATGGACCGGATTTGTTTAAAAAAAAAATCAAATGAAAAATTCATTGCTGCAAACAAGTGGGTCGGACTTGCTTGGGCTTGCTTGGACTTTTGGTTTTGAAAATCAAATGGAAATTCAAATTGGGCCGGACTTGTTCAAACTCTAATGGGCCGGACTTGGATGATTTGAAAATCAATTTGGATGGAGGAAAATCATGAGAATGGGCTGCTGGAGATGGATTTGCATTCTAAAAAAAAAAAATCAAATGAAGACTTTGGTGCAAATGAAAAGAGGACCGGATATAATGTGGGCTGCAAATTTAATTTGGAAAATCAAAACTTAATGGACATTGGATTTCTTTTGAAAATCAAATAAATCAAAGGTGGAGATTGTTGCTTGGGGCTCAAGACAAATCCAATGGCTCATATTCATTGAAGATTACTATAAATAGGGGTAGAGAGTGAGGGGTTAGAGGTGTGAAAATTTTGTAAACTCCTTTTGGAGAGGAGGGCTACTCTTAATTGAGAAGGCCTTCCAAAAATTGTAACTTTAGTTGCAATTAATAAAAATAATTTTTTCCTCTTTAAATTTGTTCTTTCTCCTCTTGTTGAATGATGAGGATGGAGATGAAGAGCAATTTGAAGGTTTGCATTTCTTTTCTCTTTTATTTCTTTTTAGTAATTTCTTTATTATTGCTTATTAGTTAGATTTAAATTCATGCTTGTAGTGTAGATTTATTTTCTTGTCTTTTTATTTCTTTTTGCACTTTAATTTGTAGAGTAGATTTATTTTTCTTGCATTTAATTTCTGCAATTTATTTTGTAGTTTAGATTTTTATTTTCTTTGTAATTAGATTTATTTCTTGTTCATAGTTTAGATTTTTCTTTTCTTTTTAATTTTGTAATTAGTTCTTTTTCTTGTTTTTATTTCTTAAAGATGTGAATTTAATTCTTGTAGGAAGTTTAGAATTATATGAAACTAGTCTAATTTCCTTTATATTGTATGAATTATTCTCTTGTACTTAAAATATTCATGTTAGGATAATCAACTAGAGAACTAATCGGTAGAAGAAGAATTTGATAATCTATGCTTATCTTAAATGGTTTGATAGGTTATGCTTATGAATTCTAGGATTATTATCATGTTGTTGTTCTTATCATGAATAGTAATTTTAACTTAGATGATAATTTGATAGGTTACACTTTCCTTAAATGGTTTGATAATCTATGCTTAATAAATCTAAGTTGAAATATGATAAAAAGAGAATAGTTTATATTTTGTAATTGAAATTGGTTAGTGGATTATATTCTAGATTTCTTACTTCTTTTGAATCCTCCATCTTGACTTTCTTAAATTTTCTTTTCATTCTTGGTTTTATTTCTTGATTTTATTCATTCATCTTTCTTGCCTTGTGATTTCATTTATTCTTTAATTCTTCCTTCTCTCCTCTAAAATTCAATTTATTATCTTTTGCATATATTCATAACAATCACTCAACAAAATCACACTTATTCTTTATTCCTAATTGTCATGCACAAAATATAAGAATCATTTCTAATAATCTCTTAAAATCACCTTCCTCGTGGGATCGATATTTTTTATACTATAACTTGATAAATTGTGCACTTGCAATTTTGGTACATAATTATGCCGCATCAAGTTTTTGGCGCCGTTGCCGGGGAGAGTGCTAAAATAGGAATTTATTAACTTGATTCTTTAACTTGTGTATTTTTCTTGTGAAGGAACCGCTTGGAGCTTGAAAATCTTGCAAATACTACACCCTTTACCACCATTTGATGACTTCAGCAATCTCCAGCAGCAAAGTTCAACAAGAACTTCATCCCATCTTCTCCCTTCACTTAGAATACATTAGGTTCAAGATTTTCCATCTCATTTATCTAACTACACCATGAAGAAACCTAAAGAAACCATTTTGAAAACATTCAACCTCACCTGTTCTCACATTAACTAGTTCAATTAGAACAACAATCATGTCCAGAACAACATCACCGCACCTTTGTTGGCACTGAAAAGAACGCTTATGGAACACGAATAGTTTTATGTCCTTTGTTTCTTTTTCATCGTCCAAAAGGCTGCAAAATAATGATTCTGCAATAAAATTAACCATATGTTAAATGTCAGGTCTAAAAACAATGAATAAATTATATTTGCCTTGATATGAAGAAAACCATAGTATGCCAAATAATCTCAACTAAGTCTACAAAGCTTCGCCTGCAATCACAATACCTAGGAGTGACATTATTTAGTTTGAAGTTGTTCTAGCACAAAATTAAAGAACACAATTTTCCTTGTATTTCACCACCAACAAACACAATGCACTGAATATGATATACAATATGGAAACTTACTTGCATCATGGCTCGAGGATTTGCAGTATAGGTTGTTTCAATCATTTTCTCCTTCTGTCATCCACATAAAGTAAGAAAACAGAATAAATAAGAAAAATACGACACTTATTTTAACCACAAGCAGATGCTAGAAAAATTTATCAGCGTTACCTCCAATTCAAATCCGTAATTGGAAGCTATCTTCTTAACATCTTCTAAACTTAGCTCAATGGACATCTCCTGCAAGTCAAAACAAAATACAACTCAGTGAGGGAAAATATAGGAAACGTTGTCACCATCTGATATCAGTATAGAGGAATTAACAGTAATGAGCTATACATACATCTTCTGGCCCATAAGTGTCCGCAAAATGATAAAGTAGGGGGCCCAAATTTATCCAGACCTATCAGTTTGGAATGATAAGACGTGTTATTAACTGAATAAAAGAGAACTTGCTCTTACAGACGTCTGCATTGAAACAACTGAAAAATAAGGTGCACATAATAATTACCAGTTAATAATTTCAACGATAATGGCAAGAAGAAAGGAATACACTAGAGAACACGTCCAGTTAACCAACGTCATTTTTTTCTATAATTGTGGCTAAGAGACTGGGAGGAAATCCCAGCAGGTACATCTTTGCATTCATCTCTCGAAGAAAATGTAGAATAACTCTAATGAAAAACCAGAAGGGAAGAAAGAACTTACTCCTCCGTCTTTGAGAATCTTTGATATTATTTCAATGTATTCAACAATGTTATGTGCCGTATCCAGAAAGAAGCAAGTCACAACCACATCCCAAGAAGCTGCAAGACACAATTATTATGGTGATAGGTGAAGCTTGAACCACAATAATGATAAAGATAAGAGTACGAGCTTATTAGAAACTCCAGCAAGAAAGTCAATGAATGTAATTTTACAAACTTTTGTTACACAAGAGACTGAAACATTTACCGCCAGATTAAACAGGATTTATATCATATAACTGTAAATTGCAGGCTAAGGTATCCTTCAGCTAGCTCCAAAAGTAAACAATGTCACTGCACCTTGATGAGATTATTCAACAGGGACAACATTAAAAGAAAAAATTATGCACAGTATATACAATAGTGCATTTGGTCACCTATAAGTAGTGACTCAAGTGCCAATTTCTCCTGGAACTAACATCAGCAACCAGTCTGGTGTAAAATAGGGGGAAAACATCTCTTAAAAATTGAATATTAATGCTTTTATCATTTAAATTTTTCTACAATATAATCATGATCATTTTTTCAAATAATTCTTCCTCATGCGTGTGTGTTCAAAATATGAATGCATGCTTCATAGCTGTTCCTACAGGATGATAACGTTTGAACTTTGAAGTCCGCTGCTGCTGCTGCTGCATGGTTATGACAGGACAGTAACAAGTAGCCCAAATACCTACTGGTATAACCTGATACCATCCATGCTTGAAGAACAACACTTCTGAGCTCTTTATTACACTGGAAATTCGGGTTCTTTATCTGCTCAGTTGCACCACAACTTATATACATATAACACAGATCAGCTGACAATCATGGTAGATTACTGCTAGACGATCTTGTCTCATGTGTTTATACACTCACCAAAAAACTCTCTTCCCTAAATAACATTATTGCATATTTTATCACTTGGACATTACCACGAGAGTAAATAGCATGGATGATTTTCTTGTTAATAGCCAGACCAAATATTGTGTTTATTTCCTCCATGCGCCATAATGTTAATAAAGATTCATAGCATCAACATCACCAAAAATGATGAACATTTAAATGACTATAAAGTGCATTTTAAAACTAATTTGACTTAAATGCTAATATAAAATTGGCTGGGAGACCACAATAACTATTTTCTATTATTGCTTACTACCACCAGCTAATCCATCTGGGCCAATAGTTTAACCTTTTGCATCATCTTAAAGGTTTTTCACTTAGTTTTCAGCCCAACAATAGAATAGCAGCACAGCTGCACAGATCTCTCCTCTAAACATGATTATATACATGAGTATGTGTGCAAGTGTGTGTGTGTTGCGCTCTAATCCAAAATCCACCCTAATTATGAAGGCTCATTTTGTCCATTTCAGCTCCCAATTTTAGTATATCATTCTTATTCCAAAATCATATATCACCTAGAATCAATCAATCAAATGAATCTCCCATTACTTGTATATACCTATCCTGCAGCTGCTCTAGTTTGCTCTTATTTATGTCAACGCCATGAACTGTTCTCTGCCAGAATGGATCATTTGAACTGATGGTTTCGATATAGTATTATGAAGAATGATTTTTTTATGAAGATTGATCATATGAGGTGCAAATAATTACTACTTTTCTGCTATGCCTAATAATTTAAATAATTACCTTCTTGACTTTCATCACTATACACCTCAACAAAGTCACCACCACACATTGAAAACCCTTCAGTAATTCCTGCACTATATTTGTAGTAAACGCAACAGATAAATTAGTAATATTAATATGTCATTTCTTGTTAATACTTGTGGATAGTAATAAATGTTGATGAAATCTAAGAACATGATAATAACATCAATAATGACGAAGTTGAATAAGCAAGACATAGAACTGCAAATTACTGAACTCAAGAAAATAACCAACAAAGCTAACATGTAAGAGCATGCCTCTCTACTCTCATTATCCTGAAGTTCTAACAGACATCTAATTAACTCAATAACTCCTGTCCCTCTCAGGTAAGGTCCACCACTTAAGAAATGAATTGTATCTTATATATGAAAAAGCTATGAGTTGATATTAGTTCCAGATTACATCCTTCTTTTCCATGACTTATATACAATATTACATAGCTGAAATTGCAATGAAATTGAGGACAATGCTGTTAATCAAAATAAATCAAGCGATGAAAATGCAGAAGTGCTTCTGGATCCTATGTGACTGTAGAATACCTATGAGATTGAAGTAAAAATTCTACATGATAGTATAAGACCGACAACGCTTTATCGATAAGGATGTTGCGCGATGAAGAAATATCTCTAAAGAAAATGAGTTTAGCAGTAATGAGAATGAATGCATTCTAGGCGATTAGAAGTTGCACTTATCGAAGATAAAATGATAGAGAATCAATTGAGATGGTTTGTCAATGAATAATGGAGGTCACTAAATGCACCAGTCAGGAGTAGTAGTAATGTTCTATACTTCTATATAGCTAATGGGGCAAAAAAAGCTAGATGAAACCTAAAAGAACTTGGTTGGAAGCAATTAAAAGCAATATGATAATAGCTAACTTGATGGAAGAGATGGCTCGAAATAGAAATGAACAAAAGAATATAATTCATGTAGTTGACCCCAAAAGTTGGGGATGAAGGCTGATGATCTAATGTAAGGAATGGTCACCATGTATTAACGTTTTTGAAAGGGTAAACTTCTAGGAATAACTAGCTTTGCACGCTGTTAGAAAGGATAAAAAACACAGTTGAATAAAATGTGTCTTTTGTGTTTGTGCGTGCGACTCTGAGTGTTCATGTGTGTATGTATGTAGGCATGCATGCATGCAGAGACGCGCACATATGCACATGTATATACACATATAAGACGAAGATGAAAGAATGCTCTTAAACACCAAATACCTTGCAGGATGGATATCTGGAAATGAAACAGGCCGAAGTTGGTCATCGTCTGACAAAGAATTACAATTGCTATGAATCCAAGGATAAATAGTCCATTCACCAGCAACTTCGGTGCTGATAAAAATATCAATAAAAGTTTGCAGAAGTTGCATCCCCGTAAGAATATGAAAGCAATCAAATCAAAAACCAAAGTAATAACTTTTCAGAAGGGAAAAAGAGATGCAGTCCACTAAGCAAAGAGATAGCTTGCTTACTGATTAAGAATGAAACTCGAGCAGATCATCATGTAATAGGAGAACTCATTTCCCTGACTAGCAAAACCTGGTCCATGTAATTGTGCGAGGAGAAAGAAGATGTAAATGTCAACAACTAAAATGAGGAAAGTTAACCAAAGGATATATCTGCATACCAAGACAGGAGATCTCTAATGCCAATCTCCCAAGTCCAGCACCAGGGACTAAACAACATGGAGGCCTAAAAGGCAAGGATTTAAAAATTACACTTTAATCCAACATAAAAATGCAGGGATTCTAGCTTATACCTCATAAAATATTAGATACTGACAGTAATCATATATCCAGAATGCCAAAGAAATTTAAGAATAGAACAAAAAATATGGTGCTTAGAAATTAATAAGCTTAAATGAAAAACTAGTTTTCAAAAGTAAAATCCTGTGGATTGAGGCCCAAGTTTGCATTTATTTAAACAACAATGTCCAGTTCACAGGGCATTACAGCTAAATCTAGGGAAGGGACAATAGCTCAAAATTCATGGTTGGGCACATTCTAGCAAGGTCCTATTCATCGACAACATCGGGCTTGACCTAGTTTTACATTCTCAAATTAAACATATTACAGATAATGGAACCAAGATAATAAGAACAATTCTCACAAACAGTTTGGCACACATATTATTTTATTTTTTTCATAGCTTCTCAACACTCTGGAACTTATTAGACTAAGCATACTTTGCAATTAGATCCATGCTTAAAAAGACGTGTGCTTCTTTTTCCCCCTCTTTTCTAGTGTCCACTAGCATAATCCATAACTTTTGTATGTGTGTATAAGCATATTGTACAAGCAATAAAATAACTATCCTGTCTACTTACAGGGCTAAGGATTTATTTTTATTTCTGCATATAGAAAGACTACCTTTCTTTACTTCGGTTAGGGAATAAGCGATCGAGCTCGTCAAGGATAGGCTTGTAGCACTGATCACGTTCTTTTTGACCCTGCAGAAACGATAATTAACAGCACAGGTAATTTTAGGAACTAGAGGCAAAGTTTAAAGGACTGTCAGGGTCAGAAAATAATGCAAACCATTTTAAAAGTCATTAAGGATGTATACATACCTCCGGTGCCCAGTCTCTTACTATGTTCCTTATAATGCACCTTACCTGATATAAAAAGAAAAGAAAATCAGAAATCTTTGACATTTGCTGAGCTTAGCAAAGGTCCAAAATTACATGGTTACTACAATCTAAACCAATTACCATGAATCATGTACCAATAGGTTAAAGTACATGTGTTACAAACATAACAATAGGCTACAAAATCAAGCTGATGAAGTGAAGCTTCAGCATCTAATTAGAGTGCTGCAAAACCAATTTAGAAGTAACACTTATGAAGCCATTATCAAAAGTATGCAATTTAATGCCATACATAATCCATGAGGTTGATTTCATAATTAAAAGAAATCTGTTGATTGATGATATTTGGGTCCAAAACCAAGTTCTGCTGCTTCCTGCCCCTAGTGGACGAAATGGAGGAAAATAACGCCATGTGGAACATGCCATATCGTAGACTTCAGCCTGACATTTCAAGTCTTGATCTTGTTTCACATCTTAGATCCTTGTCGTATGCATGTCCTTTGTCAGTGCAGTAAACCTACTGTTACTCCTGCTTGCTAAATCTCATCCAGTACCACTTTGTACAAACCCGGCTTACGTTTGCATGAAGAGGGCTCCGATAACAGATGAGACAGATTACACCATACTAAACATGCCACATCAATCCCAATGAGGAATCACCACTCGTTCAGACAGGAGTTCTATTAATTATATGTCGCCACCTATGGTTATGGAAAGACAGCCCGCCCCTTACCCTACCTCTGTCCCTGATGATGGACAAGAAGTAATGAAAGAGAAAAGACAACCGAAGGGATAGATGAAGGAGGGTAGCCACTCAGTTGGCTTGGGTGCCGGCAAGCAAATGGCTGGAGGTGGCACTCCATCTGACAAGGAAGCAGAACAGAGAAATTGGAAATATGTGACGTGATGGTGACGGCAGCCACCAATTGACAAGGGTTGCATTTGTGTGGTTTATGGCCATTATGAGCTTTAAATTTGGACAGAACAGTGAGGAAGGATATATGCGTGAATATGCACATGTTTATGTACATAAAAGCAAAAGGAAAAAAGAAACTATTAGAACAAAAAACAATAGCAGAGTGTCTCTTCGGCTGGAGCCAAAGACTGAATTACACTGCCCGATGTCACTTTCTCCTACACCATATCTTATCATCTTCCCCTTTCTTTTATATTCCTTTTTTTCGTAGTTATACAATAATTTAACCATGTGACACATAGCAGCCTTAAATTGGACAGAACAGTGAGAAAGGATACATGCATGTACAACCACGTCTTTGTGTAAGCAATAACATGAGGAAATAGAAACTACTAGAGATATAAGCAATATCAATTTGTCTGCTTGGCTGGAGTCATAGACTGAATCACATTGGCCAACATCACTATTTCCCATAGCAAATTGCCCCTCCCTTTCTTTTTATATTCCTAATCTTCACTCTTCAGAGTTGTACGGGAATTAAAACTGTGTGACAATATCAGCATTTATGCTCCAATGCATTTCAAGAATTCTATGGCAAAAGATCTTAAAGCATTGAGTTTGCAGAGAATTCAGCACCAAGTGGGGAGGCTTTACCCATGGTTGACAGCAAGTCCTAAAATTTGAACAGCCTTCCGTTCTCATTTTAGAATCGAGCTTTTGACCCATGCCTATTTTGGCAGGAACAAGTAATGATAATCATCCTACAAGAATTACTTTAAGCAGAAGAAAAGATTAAGCAAAACCTAAGTGCACTCTTACACCACAACATATACAAACTAAAAATTGATGTACAACACAGAAATCATACCTTGTCGACATCAACTAGAGGAACATGCAACTGTAACGATGGATCAAGCCAATCATGTGGTGAAGTTACCTAAAACGAATAGTCAAAAGAAAAGAAAATAGAAAAAGTGATTTGATACAAGACATGTATAATCAGATAACATAAGACATGCATAAACAGATAACGCTTTCATGCAAGGAAAAGAGTAAGGCAACATAACAGCATGTAGCTGGAAGAAATAGGGCTTACGCAGGTACATAACGCGGTCAGGCCCTATAGACGAACCAGAACCATAAATATAAACAGTGAACAACATACTTACTGTAGGGTTTTGACTATGTAGGTGCATAAAGGCGTGTGCAGGCTTTGATAGTGTAGATGCATAATCCATTTAATATGGCTACAAACTGTAAGTTGTTTCTTTTGGCTGCTTAGTACTTGTTAAGTTGTAATGCAGTTTACTTCTCAAGTTATCTATTGTCATTAATTTAATATATTGACACTAGTTTAAAAAATTTAAGATGTTCCCTTTTACTTGTACTTTTTGATTTTGACTGATTATATTTCTTTTTCCTATAATCATTAAATAACATAAAGAGAGTTCTTTTTTATACAATTAGTAATTTCCATTACATTTTCGCTTACATTCTTTTCAACATTTCAGCATTTAAAAGAAATTTGAAATTGTTCTTCTGTGTGTATGAATGTTACCATGCCATCAAACTATGCATCAGAAGTGATACACAATCAGCACAGCGCATGAATAAAGTAATATTGATGTCTGCCTGTAAAGTGTTGCAAACAATGTGTGCTTCATAGACATAAATTTCATTAACAAAGCAGAGAACCTATATGAAAATCAAGCTCAAGGCAAGATTTTGACCCTGAGGTTTGAATCAGTATATGACAGCATAAATGAGTAAAGCCTAGAGGTTTCCTAACAGCAAATGTTAACTGACAGACAATACAAAGACAAAAGCACAATCCACTTATTACAAATTAAACAGTGATGTAAAAGCAAAAGCCAATCAAGCAACAACA